TTAGGGTGTAGGTATGAATCGTCAGTTTGCTACCGACAGTGCCATGTGTATCGCGTTGTTCGATGGGAAATATAGAATTATTGTGGCACTTAGGGCAAGTACGGTAGTTTGTGAAAGTGTATGGAGTATATATCTTTTAGCTTGAACTAAGTTTAGTTTTTTGACAAGCAACTGAAGTCTTATGGATTCTTTATATTTTTGTCTCGATACTTCGCTGATATTAAATAAGTTTGGCTTTGGACAGATTTCCTGCTATTTTAAATACATTTTCTTCTTTCTTTTCAAGTGGCACTACGCAGCTTTCGGTAAGCTTAGCATTACTTTGCCCCTGATTGCCCTGTACATGTAGAGCTTTTAGCCCCATATTGATCAACTGACTGGTAGGTTCTTTTGTGGTAAATTTTTAAACTTTGGGAGGCATTGGATTTTTCCATTAAGCTCATCTGAGGCTTGTCTCTAAAGAACCGTTTCAGATATGCAAATATGGGACCCAGTTTTATGTTTTTTGTTAAAAAAGTAAATAGTTTTGGTTTTACCTGTTTTTTTTTGTTGATAGATTGACTGAAACATGAACCCACTGTTTGAGAAACCTCAAACAATATAAATCCCTTGAACACTGCATGCCAACGGCACGTCGGCAACATTGCGGATGTAGGGCGTAAAAAGTACCCTTCTACAAAAAAGAGAAGAAAACGAACCACCGTAAGAATCAATTTTCGCTCCCCTTTCGTTCTCTCGAAAATAGTTGCTTACAAATCTCATTTGTGTTTTATACGATAAAATAAGTGTGTTTTTCACAAACCAAACGGGTCCTTCAAATATATATTTTTTATTAGAAATTTTCTGTGTTAATTCAACCGACCATAAAGCCTCCAGTGCGCATGTGGAGATAAATAAATTTAATGCAGTCCAATAAAGTTGCTCCACCTGATTGGGCACTTCACCGTCCCCAAACACCACCCACGTTATTTGACGTTGCTCAAGGACCATTTCAGCCACAGATTTCGTTTTTATATTACTGGATAGAGAATTGGTAAGTCGATTCAGTTATAACTAGGGTTTATACAAAAATCGACATATTAGAAAACCGGTTTTCGAATAGTAATTTTTCCATAAAACCGGTTTTAACTGGTTTCTAATTTTCATAAAGAAATTTAGAGTGATTAAAAGCAGTTTTTGACTGAAATTATGACTGTTCAATTTTATTGATAGTAAAATTTTTTTATGTAATTTAGTAGGACAAAGAAATAATAGTTTACCAGGATTAAATAACTTTAAATACAATTATTCGTTGTTTATTCATAATTTTCACATATAAGAAGGTTAATATTTTTATGAGAGTGAAACGAGTTATTCAGCAAAAAGTTCGAATAAATAAAAACAATATATTTTCATATTTTTATAATAACCATTATTTTTTTTTAAACAATGTTTAGATACAGATGGATACTTATTAAAAACAATTAGAAAATATATAACGGTGTATTATATAACGTAAATTATAATCAAAGCAGACAGAGAAGAGTAAATAAACTTTATGCACACATACTTATTAAAATCAATTTTACTTTTAAAGACAATTAAGCAAAGGCTCGAGTATTTTTTATTCCGGGCAATTTTACTACAAATTTAAATATTCTATTTAATTTTTTGTTCAATGAAATATGATTTCAGAAAACCGGACGTCTATCGATTTGCTATTTAGCCGTATCCTTAATTTATTCACAAAATTTCCCGAAATAGAAAATACCCTCTCACTTGCAACCGAACTAGGCTTAATCGTTTTTAAAGCCTGATATAATAATTCTAAATTTTTGTGTGTTTCTTAGAGTTTGAGTAGAGGAAGTCACTTCTTCCCGTTTCTTTGAATATTTATTAATAGCCACTTCCCTAACACTTTTCAATAAAACATTGTCTGGCTCTTGAATATTGCTTTCATCACGTTTTTGAATATCACATTCTTATAGTTTATCACACCCCTATAGGGTAATCTTTATGGAATCTTGATAATATTTGTCCGGATAACTTAATAATGTCACTTTTCGTTGCTAATAGGAGGAATTTATTAGAAGATTCCGTTAAAACAGTTTGATAATTTTGTAAATAATTCTTCAATCCGTGCATTTATAGCATGTAATAATTTCGGATTTCAAATTTTGTACTTCACCCAGCAAAAATTCAAATATACCTTCACTTGTTAAAAAAATTTGCGTCTTATCTAGCTAAAGCTTCGGCTACTAATTTTATCGGACCTAAAACTTTAACGAGTTCTACAACTTTGTAATATTCTTCTTCATCTTCATTCCACATATGAGAAGCATTAAGGTCATTCAGAGTTAAAACAACACATTCTTTTAGCTGTACAAATCTTTCTAACATGTCCTCTAAACTATTCCATCTTGTTTTACAGTCAAGAATAAGATTATATTCTTTCTCGTATTTCCGTTTCATGTGATTCTGAAGAATGCTATTTTTGACAGGGGATTTTCTAAACGATTTGCAAATTTTTCTTTATTTAGAAATAATATTTTTATAATCATCCAATAATTCAGGAACAGGTCATTTATAATTGTTTATGTCAAGAGAATCTAGTTATTTAAAGTCATTATCAGAGTCCTCACTTGCAGGATTTAAATCTGTTTCCAATGGACTGTTATTTTTATTATATAATATATCAGTAACTGCTAAGTGTATGGCATGTGAATAACACAGTTGATTAATCGCTTGTGATATGTGACCAAGTTTTTTCATAACAGCAGCACCATCATTTGTTGATGCTATCAGTTGATAAATCAAGATTAAGAGTTTTCAGTTTCTCAGAAACCAGGTTTAACATTGTTTTAGCATTGCAAGTACTTGATATCGGAGCTAATCCTAAATTAAAATCTTTTTCGAGTTGATGTACGCTAATATTTAAATATCTTCGATATCATTTACTAGTCCATTCGTCTATAGTTATATCAAAGTTTTTCCCTTTATTTTTCATACAATTTAATTCATTTATAGTTTCACTTTTTATAGTTTTATAAAACTTATAAATAAGATTCATAACTCTAGAATTGTTTAGTGGTAAGCAATAATTTGGTTGCTGCAATGACTCGTGTATGAACGAACTATTTGTTATGCAATTAATAGATAGTCTATCCAATGCAGCAAGCTTTGATACAATTTCTTCTAAACTAGTCCTTTTCACAAAGTTAAGCATACAGGGCTGTGTACTTGTTTGCGAACCCGGGCCGGCATCAGATAATTTTTTCTCGGTTATTTTATCGTGCACTGTTTTCGAATGATTATGTAGACTGCTTGTGCTTGATCCTTTGTAAGTAAGTATTTTATTGCAGTAAATACAGCGGACTTTTTATTTTTCTACTTTTTTGAAATAATTCCACACGTCTGACATCTAGGACTACAAAGATATAAAAAATATAAATAAAAATGTATATTTCTATAATATTAAAATATGTTGCCTAATTACATTTTGTATAATACCGTCTATATTAAATATCAATCAATGGCACTGAACACTGAATTAATGAACTGTATATAAAGAAACAAGACGACAAACTGATATAAAATCTAAATTAATTCATCCAATAGACAAAACACACCGTTTTTTGAAATCATATCGGACTGCTATGATTCCAAGAACAAAACCGCTTGCAACAGTATTTTTATCAATCTGGTACATTTGGCTAAATTTGTCATTTAAAATTTTTTTTTAAGTGTTATTCATACATTGACCACCGATATTTTCTACTGAAAACCCGATTTTGTAATTTCATAATTTCCTCCAAAAACCGACAAACCCTAGCTATAACAACGTGCGTGAGTAAATTCTAGTGCATTTGTCACAAAAAGTCACACGAAGTTTGAATATCAGACAGATATTTAGGTGCAAGTTTACGCCAAAATATAATTTAAAAAAAAAACGCGTTCTACAGAATGTCAATTTTTCAAGTTTCTACTGGGTTTACTTTGGAAGTTGGAATTTTTGATTGATGATTTGAAGAGTCTGCAGTTGCGTAAAAGCGTTTATTTTGAAATCCACATTTACGAAGCGCGCAAAATTCAGTATTCATGTGATTTGAATGAATTTTTAAAGGTTTGAAGAAATGCTGACGACGTTTAGAGCGCACTTTTCTTCACTGAACGCACAACTCTAAATTTTTTGATTATTGGTCGCTTCTGAAAAATGTATTTTCGAAAAACGCCATGTAAAATTTGTCCCGCAACAGTTTTTTCAAATCCCAAACAAAATTTCTTAACGATGAGTGAAATTCAAAAAAAATACATTTACAGAGCACTCCCCTATTGGTCTTTACTATGACTGCACCAGTGAGTTACTGTGTCGGTGCGTTAGGTTGGCGCACCAAGCCATTTTGGCATCACTGCGCCAAGCCCTGAAAGTTAACTGAGTTACCCATGCCTAGCTTGTAAGTGGAAATGGTTTAGGCAAACTTTTCTTAATAGAAAACCTAATAAAAGACAACATTTCGGAACAGAATTCAAAAATATACTTTAAAGTTAGAATCGACTCGTATTTTATTTATATATTTTCATATGAAATTGGAAGTTATCTCAAATTGTGATTAAAATATGCGCTATTTTTCTCTTATTTGAGGTTCCATTGCTGTCGTTTTTTAAAAAATCCTCTCAGTAGATTTTCTATGGCGATGTTTTGCTAACCCCAGTCTCACTCTTACTTCGATAGTGTCATTGAGCTAAATTATTATTTTTTGAATAAAAGGGAAGAAAAATCTAAGTGGATATTATCTATTTTGCCCTTTTTCAACAGTCGATAGTCTTCCTTCCCTTCTAAGTGCCATAAGTTTAAGAAGTTTTTCTCAGTTTTCATTACTTTAAATATCGGTTTAAAAACTAGTTTTGATAGTAAAACTCTGAGGTAACCACAGCTGCACCACTCAGAACCATTATTGTGACCGTTTTCTTTAAATTTGCAAGCATCGTCCTCTATGTCCATTGCATCAAATTCAAAACTTTGTCGAAAATACTATTAGTACAAAGACTATAAAGCGCGAAAATTACCTTATAGTATCCAGATGTTCCATCACAAAACTCTTCATATTCCCTCCTCCACAAGGACTATGATGAAATCTCTGCATCCCAATACGTAAAACTTCCAATCGAAGTGATCCGTACATGACCAAAGTGCAAAAGCTGCTCTGCACAGCTATATTAACCACAACGCTTTCGCATGCCGTCGCTATGTTAGCTACCATAATCCACCAGCGCCACTTCAGCTTATCGATTGGTAGATAGATTTCGTGCATAAAAGACACATTGTCCATCTTCCAATAATCTGGTCCAGTATTGTATACCTCGATGCAAGACACTCCTGCATAAGCAACCAAAGTGCTGAACGTGGATCCGATGATGTAGATATTCAGGTACTTGTTGCTGACCTCCGTTCGTCGGTATGCCACCTTAACTTTCTGATCCGAAGAACTTCTGAGGGGAGTTTCAGCGTCTCTAACCTGAATGCAGATTTGCGCTATGTCGTTTCTGAGATAGATCACACCTTTCCATAGAAGAAGCCCAATGGATACGAAGACCGAAAGGCATTTGCTGATTCTTTCAAAAGGCTCTTGATCAATAATAATTCTGGAAATCCAACATTCGTTTTAAGAATAGACACTATTTGCTACAGCTCTACCTGAGAGATCCGATGAAATAACTGAAGTTAAAGGCCGAATACCATCCAATAACAGTAACTCGGTAAACAAGATAGATTTTTCGCTTCAAGGGTGTTTCCAGCGTGTTAATCGGCCATAGACCCCACAGCTTCAGAAACAGTTCTGGAATATCCATGAGTCCCATTTTGCATATGGACGATCGTCTACTGATGCGAAAGTGCAGTTTTTTATTTAGCGACTGGAAAATAAACTTGGCAATTAACCCAGTTTTTCTCTGGCAATTTTCTACTTACGAAACGATAAATACTCTTTCCTATAGGTGTTATTATCGGAATACGGTGGGTTTAATTACAATGCTTTTTAATGGGAACTGCAGATGTTCCAAGTGCTAATTAAGTGTGGAGAGACACTGTTTTAACATTTATATGTATTTATCACAGACATTCATACAATATAAGAAAAATCCAACCACAAATGAGCTTCTTCAGTGTTCCAGTGTGACGCTATAAAAACTGATGAAAAGAAATCAAGAACTCGTGGTCGAATATAAACCGGCAAACGACAGACAAAAATTGATCTTCTGATGGAATTCGGAAAACTTTTCCAAGACTAACGCGAATACAAATGTACATGAAATTGCGGACTTTTCTCGCGAATTTGATCTTGAACTAGTAAAGTTTAGATAGCAGAGATAGAAGAAACTTTTTTGTGTAAGCTTCTTTATCCAGTGGAAGATACAGGGTGACGTAATTTATCTAAAGAGTAGCGTGGTAATTTTCTAAAAATTCTCATTTTTCAAGCTCAAGTAAATTTTAGCAGGCCCTTGGCGTGCGCCTATGGGCGCACAAAGTTTCATAGGAATGCACCATCGTTCCGTTTTTCCCTCCCAATCGGAGGTTTTTATCCAACTGCTCTCACTAATTTAAAAATTCGCATTTTTCAAACTAACATAAATAGTGTCTGAAACCTTCATCATTCACATTCAACATTTAAAGTTTCATCAACATCGCCCGGAATTCTGTTTCAGCCTGTTTAATAAATAACAGCACCACGTTTTACTCAACTTCGCTCTCTTCTTAAAAAATTCGCATCTTCCTAAATAAAACAATTAGTGGCTTGAAATTTTTACTATTTTTAGACCAGACGGGCAAAAGATGCGGGTAGTTCCATAAAAATTTGCCAGAAGATTAAATTTTTCGCAGCTTTGTAAATATCGGGCTCAAAATGTATGCTTTTGCTCAACTGCGATATTTCCTTTGAAAATTCGTATCTTCCCAATTAATGCAAGTAGCGACTCAAATTTTTGACCAAAGTTTTACAACATCGTTACTCTAAAGATAGTAAAAGATTTACGAAAATCGAACATAATTCGTAATCTCGATCTCCGTATGTATGTTTATGCTCAAATGTGCGTTTTTTTTAAATCGCATTTTTCCAACTAAAGCAAGTAATTTGCTCCACTTTTAGAAAACGCTTTGCTCTAAACACGCTGAAAAATTAATTGAAATATCAATTCCTGATTCTTTCAGCGTAGTATAGGTAAAAGGTAGGTAAATATAGGGTATATATAGGTATAGGTAAAAGGTAGGTCTTTTATCTCAGATTCAAGTACAAAGTTACACAAGCTTTCAAAAAACGCCCTTTTCCGTCGAGGTTTTTCAGGAAATGAAACTGAAATTCAATCACTAACTGTGTAAATTTAAATAATAACATAAAAAAATAATTATCTGATATGAAATCATGATCCAAATTTTTGTCAGTTTCATTGATATCAGGTTGAAAATGTGTGTTTCTCCTCAACTGAACTTGAACTGACTTAAAATTTTCATCTTTGCAACTAGATCGATTAGCGACTTGAATTTTTAACCACCTTGACAAAGTAGGTGACTCAAAGATACTGAAAGCTTCATGAAAGTCGCCTGAATTAATTTTTGTTTCTAACGTAAATATCGGGCTCAAAATGTATGCCTTTCATCAAGTGCATTTTTTTACTTAAAAATTGGCGACTTTCTAGCTAAGGCAGGTAGCACATAAATTTTTGGCCATTCTTAGAAGACACTGAACCATTCCAGAAGACACATTCTTAGAATCCCTATTTTTTCCAGCCTCGTAAATTCCGGTCGCATAATGTTTGTTTCAACTCAACTGCGCGTTTTTATTTAAAAATTTGCATCCTTACAAGTGAAGCAAGTAGCGACCTGAGTTTTTTACCGTCTTGGCAACATAGGTGACTCTAAAGATACAGAGCTTCATAAAAATTGCTTTGAAATAGACTTTTTTATCGTAAATATCGGGCTCAAAATGTAGGTCCCTCCTCAACTGCTTTTTTTTACTTAAAAATTGGCGACTTTCCGGCTAACGCAGGTTGCGACTTGAATTTTTTGCCATTCTTAGAAGACACTTAACTCGAGATATTCTAAAAGGTTAACAAAAAACCCCTGGAATTCCTATTGTTTTCAGCTTCATCAACTCCGGTCGTACAATGTTTGCTTCAAGTGAACTGCGCGTTTTTTCTATAAAAATTCGCCAGTCTTAGAACACTTGACTCTAAATATTTTAAAAGGTTAAGAAACTCCCCAGTCCCTATTTTTTTCAGCTTCGTGAATTCCGGTCTTACAATGTTTACTTTAACACAACTGCGCGGTTTTCTTTAAAAATTCGCAATGTCCCAACTGAAACAAGTAGCAGCCTGATATTTCCACCATCTTTAGCAGACGCTTGACTTTAAAGCTGTGGAAAATTTCGTAAAAATCGCCCGCATTACTGATTTGTTCCAGCTTGTTATACAGGGTTGCTCATTAGTGCGTCAAAGTGCGATATCTCAGTAAATATGAAGTTTACAAGAAAATTCGTCCAACGAAAGTTTTTCACGTTTAA